CTATCTATCTATCTATCTATCTATCTATCTATCTATCTATCTATCTACTATCTCTCTCTGTGTGTGTGTATACACACACACACACCCAATCTATCATTTCCCTATCACCTTTCTTGATGTATTTATATCTATCATCTCTCTCTCTCTTATTTGCCTGCCTGTCTGTCTCTCTGTCTGTCTGTCTCTGTCTCTGTCTCTGTCTCTCTCTCACCTGGTGGAATGCCATGCTAAAGGACACTGGCCAGTTTCCCGCATTCCCATCAACAGATAAAAACCAGTATCTCAACACGCCGTCCTTCGGCCTAGCAACTGCAGTCCATCATCCGCTACGCGCACATGCAGGGGTGGGATGCAAATATTTTTACTACCAGTTCTGTGGGCGTGGCTAGGTGGGCGTGGCTAGGTGGGCATGGCCATGTGACTGGGAGGGGAGGGGCCAGTCAGGAGCAAGATTTGCTGGTTCTCTGAACTGGGCAGAATCATAACAACCGGTTCTATAGAACCGGTCTGAACTGGTAGAATCCCACCCCTGCACATAGGGAGGGCTGACAGGCGGCAACGGGTGGATATTTACATGTGTGCGTACAGTTCTTGTTTTTGATTTAAAAAAAAAAAAGCAGATCTGGAAGCCGAATCAAATGTACCAATCGCTCTTCCAAACTGGTCAAATGGGTGTTTAACAACCAGCTGTCTGCGTTGTTTGTGTACCACTTAAGAAAAACACAACCTCCTCTTTTGGCAAAAATAAGGGAAGCAATGGTGCTCTGGGCAACGAGAGTGCTTGCAAACTCACAAAAAAATATTCCTTCAGCTCCTCCAAAGGCGGATACAAGAAATCCTTGGATAGAGAGTCGAGAGGGGGGTGGGGAGAGAGATGATTGATAGATAGATAGATAATAGGTAGAGAGGGAGGGAGGGAGGGAGGGAGAGATATTAGGTAGTTGGGTAGAGGGAGAGATGGATGAATAGATAGACAGATAATAGGTAGGGAGGGGGGGAGGGAGGGTGGGAGAGATATTAGGTAGTTGGGTAGAGAGAGAGATGGATGAATAGATAGACAGATAATAGGTAGGGAGGTAGAGAGAGAGGTTGATAGATAGACAATAGGCAGGCAGATAGGGAGCGAGAAATAATAAGTAGGACGGTAGGGAGGTAGGAGATAGATTATGAGATAGATCGGGGTCACCAACCTTTTGGACCTCAGGGACCACCAAACTCATAATTTTAGATCCCAGGGACCACTAACTGGTTCTGTGGGCGTGACCTAATTTGTGGGTGTGGCTTGGTGATCATGTGACTGGCTGGGCATGACTTGTTTGTAAATATAAATATTTAAAATTCGGATTTAATATAATTTATATTAAATAAATATTGATTTTTTTTTTATAAAAAATAGCAACTTTTACCCAAAACCAGGCAAAGCAGGCAGGCAGATTGAGTTGCTCACAGAATCATTCAGTGATCTATCTATCTGCCATTGGCTAGCTCAGTCTGTCACACAAAATTTGCTTGCAAGCAAACTCACAAAATTAACTCACAACACACCATGTATGTAAATATTGATTTTTTTTAATTAAAAAAATAGCAACTTTTACCCAAAATCAGGCAAAGCAGACAGATTGAGTTGCTCACAGAATCATTCAGTGATCTATCTATCTGCCATCGGCTAGCTAAGTCTCTCAAATTTGCTTGCCATGTGTGTGCGCTGAATTTGCTTGCAAGCCCAACTTGCAGCCCTCAGTGAGGTACGGCTGTGCTTAGCTAGAAAGCAAGAAATCCAACCATTTCCTGCTTCCTAGCTAATCTAAATCTCCCGGCACAGCAGAACAGATGATGGTCGGAAAAAGGAAAAATAGCAACTTAGCAGACAAGTTTACTGGGTAAGGAGTGAGTGGGCGGGGAGGGTTCCCGTGGGCCACATAGGCGGAGCAGCCTTGTGTTTCTGCACAGCCTGGATTAATTGCTTTGTGGGGGTGCTCTGGGGGTGAGATTACTTTGCGGCCCTCCAAAATTTTCTCACGGCCCAGATAGATGATAGATAGATGGAGGGAGGGAGGGAGGGAGGGAGAGAGAGATAACAGGTAGGAAGGTAGGTAGATAGTTGGATGGAGAGAGAGATGGATGGATGGATGGATAGACAGATAATAGGTAGGTATATAAGGAGAGAGAGGGATAATAGGTAGGAAGCAGAGTTGGGTATTCAGCAGGTTCTGACCAGTTCTGGAGAACCGGTAGCGTAAATTTTGAGCAGTTTGGAGAACCAGCAAATCCCACCTCTGACTGGAGATTTTACAGTCTCCTTCCCCTGCCGCGCCCACCAAGCCACGCCCAAAGAACCGGTAGTAAAAAAATTGATAGGTAGGAAGGTAAGTAGGTAGGTAGGTAGAAAGATGGGTGGATATAGATGGATAGATAGATGGATAGATACAGACAAACAAATAGATCAATAATTAGAAACACAGAGAGGGATGATGGATGGATGGATGGACAGATGGCTAAAAGGAGAAATGGATAGATTGATAAATAAATTGCACACGTTTATACTCCAAGCAAAGGATTGATAGGCCTCAACTTATAACCATCCCTTCCCTCGCTGCAGTCAAAGTGACAACAGCACTGGGAAACCATCCCCCTCCCTAGTTTTCCACACTTACGACCATCGTGACTTCGCCATGGGGACCTGATAGGATGGTTGCCGTTCTCCTGGGCTGCTATTCCTCCGACTTACAGCCCCAGTCAGCCTCTGATGGATCAGCCTCAATGGAAGCGCTGAACCTCAACTCCCTTAACAGCCGCGACAGTTTGCTTAATGACCATGGCCGAAAGAGGCCGGGGGAAAAAAATAATCTGCCGCTGTTCAATTCAAATGGCTGGCTAGCTGAGCCGCCGTTGGCTCATATTTTCACTGCATCCTGCAACACTCCCACCCCCCCATCCCCAGGGGGTCAACCCGGTGAGTCTTCAACTTACGACTATTCCTTTTAGCGACTGACCCGAAAATGGTGCTAAACAAAAAAAGAAAATAAGCGAAGTCCGTTTTTCGCATCGAACAACCATCATGGATCGGAAATTTGGATGCTGGGTGAGCGACTCAGACTTACAACCGTTGCCCTGACACTGTGATCCCCTGTGGGGGAACCCTCCAATGAGCAATTCCCTGAAGAGGCTGTGAAGGGCAGGGAAATGCAGGGCAGGGCAGGGCTCCCTGTGCTCACATCTCGCTTAGCGACGGGAAAGGTCAATTGTGGTCCTAAGTGGCAGGAGGGGCGCATGTGAGAAGAAGGGCCTACCTCCTAAAGTGGTCCACCAGGACTCCAACCAGCTCCCCGACCCGCTGGTCATTGGATGGCTGCATTTGATGGAGGCACACCACTAGGCATCGCTGCTTCTCCAAGTGGAAGACGACCAGCTGGTCCTCTCCGCTGGTGACACTCAGGCCAGACACCTGCCGGGCAAAGGCGTGTTGGGGAAATAAAAAGGCTGTTTGGGCAACTCACATTGGAGAGGGGAGGAGGAGGAGGAGGAGGAGGAGGAGGAGGAGGAGGAGGAGGA